TCAATCATTTCTCCTAAACCTCATGAATGCTGTGATAAGGAAAAAAAGCTCCTTTTTCCTCTGATAAAAAGTAGAATTCCAGAGGTTACCTGTAAAATGGATTCTATTTAAGTTTTTTTTTTATTAGTGTGTTTTCTATTAGTAATTCTGTTTGTTTTAAAGAACAGCACAACAGATCTTTATTCTGATGAGATTGTCTACCGCAGCCTGCAGAATATTTCAGAAAGCCAACTGATGCATACGTCTGGCAGCCAGCAAAAAGGAGGAAAAGGTGTGTAGAAAGAACGCTAATATGCACTTTGTGCTATCTCCGGATCCTTCCCCCGCCTGCCCTTGACCTGGTGAATTATGTTTCTTTTATTGTTTTCTTAATTTTTTCTTGTACTCTTAACAGAAGGCAGTTAATTCATGCTTTGATTTTGGTTATTGAAATACAGCTCAGTTCTGAGCTGATGTAAATCAGATAACAGTAGAGTGGAACAATTTAGCTGTCTGAGTGATTTATAGCAACCTCTCCAGCAGACTGTTATTTTTCCAGAATCTCATTAGCTTAGATACATTTTTTGATATCTCAGTCTCTGACAATGCCTCTTCATTATCATCAGGAAAGGGTAGGCCTGGATATCCTTCCAAATCACCTGAGTTGAAGGTAGATACAAAAACATAATTCATCTCTCAGTAATATCCTCATCTACTTTAATTGTTGCTTTTATTCCTTCGGGTCCAATATACTCATCAATTCTCTTACAGGTTTTTACACTTAAATATTTTCTTTGTGCTCTTCAAATTACCCCTTTGCTCCCCAAGTTCCAGTTTGTATTTGAGTAACTGTAGTTTATGTTCTTTTCCATTGACTTTGCTGGAGTTGGATTTCCATTTTCTGAAGAATATCTGCTTGGCTGGAACATGCAGTTTAACTGCTCCGTTTATTACTTGCCTTCTTGCTTCCTTTTTTTGTCTAGGGGTAAGCCTGCTTTCTGTGATTCTGCTATAGTAGCCTCCCTGCTGAGTTGACACCCTTTGCTTTTGATGTTAGAGTCTTTTTGAGTAGCTTCCTTTTTTTTTTGTTTCATTTTGAAATCCCCGTTTGTGAAGTTTAGCCACACAGTGCCAGTTTCTAGTATAATCTCTTCCCCATGGACGTTGAACTTAATTATACTGTGGTCACTGTTGCTTAGTGGTTCAATGACAGTTGCTACTGGGATAAACTCCTAGGCACTAAG